TTTCTAAAATGGCTATTTAGGCTCAAAATTAGATGGACAATTGGTCAATCTCTTATATAGAAAAATGATTTAAAACGATTGCAAACTTGGATATAAATATTTTTTTCCACTACCCAAGAGAATTAATAATTTTTGACCAATAAGCAACATTTAGAAAAATTTCATAGCAAAATAGTACAATATTGCCTAAAGATCAAAATAACTAAGGAACAGAGTAGTCTAATGGCATATTTCTTGGCCTAAGGCTTCCTTGTGGATTTGGTCCCTTTTCATTCATATGATAAGAGAATCATCTGTCATTAAAGCAGAAATCCTGATGATGCTGACCCAGTCCTTAATCCTTCCGCTATTAAGTGACTCTATGACAAGAACCATCATCCCAAAAGCCAGTGAAGAGCCAGTGAAGGCAGCCAAATCTCAAATTATTTTTTCAACTAAAGAAAACCACTTTTTCAGTTTTGAAATGCATTTTTGAAAGTTTCATATCTATTTGCAGGACTTATTGGGAAATCAATAATGATTACTAAGGTAAAGAGAAAATTTTTAACGCCATTTATCAAAGGCCCTCACCAAGAGCATTTTACTATTACTAAAGATTAAAATGGCCTTAAAGATAACGCAACTGAAAAATTAATCCAAATAAATATTGCACATTTAAATATTTATTTTATGATATTTATTTGTTGTTTTATTTTAATTAGCGTTTTTAGCGTGATATTTAGCGTTTGTACAATTTCAACTTGACAAAATACTATTGGATTAGTCATCTGGAGATCCTGCAGATTTCTGATCTTATAAGGAAAAACAGCTCACTTTTATGCAAATTTGTTTTTTAAAAAATTCATTTATTTTCAATTATGCTTTTGAAAATTTTTATATACTGAATGTATAAAACATTTAGAAAAGGTTTAGTTCCCTTTTTTTCTAAAATTTCATCTAAATTTTATTGTATTTTGAATTAATTTTTGCATATAATTTAAATGGAATTTTACAGATTATTTTGTGCAAAAATTTATTTGACTGTTCATTAATTTTAAATTTAAAATTCACCTATTTAAATTTAAATGAGTACTTTTCGAAATTCGTGGAAAAAGCAAAAACTATAAAATAATTTGAATTATATCCAGTACCTATTCAAAAAAAATATAAGCAAAAAATGTAAAAAATATGGGAACATATAAGTAAATAAGTAAGCAAGTGACTATTTTAGCTACTGAGAAAATGAACTGTGGTTTAATGCAAAATAAACATAATGGATAATAGAATAATCAAAAAAGGCACAAATTGATAATAATTTTAGTTAAACTGGACCTCGCAGTTGGCGGCTTAGTGGCAAGATAACTACCACCGATCGAAGACTGGGTTTGAGTCCACTTCGTCGGGCGGTAGCGGCACCTAACGGAGAAAACAGCTAATTTGAGAATGAAAATATTCGTGGATTCGTCAAATGAGATAACAAATAATTACCCTTTCTCTAAGACCACTCATGTGGTTAGACTCGCTCCTCTGGCTTGTCGTGCCTTGGCGATAGGAATACAGGTCACTAGCATTAGCCGGGTTTTTGGGTAGTTATCCTGCCAGAAATAGGAGCTCAACGTCGACGCTCTGAATGAGCCATTCTATTCCCTTTGTGGCGATAGGAATACAGGTCACTAGCATTAGCCGGGTTTTTGGGTAGTTATCCTGCCAGAAATAGGAGCTCAACGTCGACGCTCTAAATGAGCCATTCTATTCCCTTTGTTTTTCGCCGTTAGGCGACTCTGCACCACAACGAAGAGTGGTGCGTCGGCAGATTCGAATACAAGCCTCGATTCTCGATGGCAATTGTCTTGCACTGAGCCACCAATGCAATAATTAACTGAATAACAGGAAAATGAATTTTACTTAAAATGTAAAAGACACAAATCATGAATTATTTGTTTACAAAATAATTATTTAAAATTATTATCTTTAGTAAAAAATAAAATTTTAAGAATGCCAAAAAGAATTACAATTGATGATATCGGATTCAAGAAGTCAAATGGTTTCAAGTTCGAATAAGCCATCTTCTCTGAATGGATGTGCTGAAATTCAAAAAATGATCATATTTAAAGCATTTTTTGACTAACTGAGGCTCAGAGCCCAAGCCATTATTTAAATCGACTTTCTAGGAAGCAAAATTATCATCAAAATAGAATTACAATCCCATCTATATTCCCAACTATCTCCTCAAATCGAGCTAATAACTGATGTGTTGTTGTGTGAAGAAAAAAATTTTCTATCAAGAATATTCTCATAAACAAAAGAATCTTTCCGAATTGTTTGTTGTTTCTTTCTTAAATTGAAATTGCTCCATTTGTACGATGAAATTGTTGATTTTCACATTGGCAGATAAATTTGCGAAAATGAGAATGGCTGCACAAGTAATGTATTTTTTTGGCTCAGATCAGGCCATTATTCTTCTTCTAACAACTCTCACCATTAGTGGTTACCCTGGCTACAAAGGTGAGACATCTCCAAGCTGCCCGGTCCGACGTCATCGCCAGTAATAATAGAAGCAATACCTTTTTTCATCGTCTAAATCCATATATCGCTGGTATATAACCCCCATACGTTCAAAGGTTATATCATATTTGTTAATATCATTGACGTTCATTTCACTGAGTTGTTTCGATACGGTTCGATACGGTTTGAAATGCGCTTATTGTTCGCGGATATTTCAATTAGAGATAGTTGAAAGATCTCGGGATACGTTGTTTCTTACAATATGTCAGTTTTGTACGCAAGCCATTATTGGTTTCAATCGACTTCATACACGAGAAAACCTTTCATCAAAAGTGAAATTCGAGTGATCCACCACTTTCCCCATATAAAATTCGCATATTAGTAATCAATGCAATTTATTCAGGCCAAAAATGAAGAAGAAACTAAGCGAAATTCTTTTGCTCCGTAACCCTATTATATTATTATACGGCTTCATATTTTAAGGCATAAATACGCGCACTAAGTAATATAACTGTAGTAATGGGAATTAGAAAATTCGAAAGGAAAAAACATAAGTAATGAATAAGCGAATGGCTCAATGCTTGACACTACTATTATTATAATTATTATAACTACTATTATTATAATTATTATAATTATTAATGTAATTCATGTTTAGCGATGCGTTATACTTTTATATACAAATAATTAATTGTTGTTTTCCGGTATTTGAAAAATAAAATTTATTGAAGAGAAACAACTTCCTGTTCTGCTTTTCTTTTACAAAAATGCGACAAATTGTAGCATCAAATAAATAGTATTTAGTTATAAAAATTTTAATAATTAACTGCTCTCTTTATGAATTTTCGATTTTTTCAATCTTTTTTCATTGCCAGTTTTGTTACTTATAATAAGCAAAAGAAATGATAAGCACGCGATTAAGCTTGTTAGCTATTGATGAGAAAGTCAAGGAGAGAAAAAAATACAGGTGGAGCCAGCACTTTTTAGGAAAGCACCATTATTGGTTAGGCTTATTGGTTAGGTCTCCTCCGCAGCGAGGACAAGGTGCTTCTCGACTCAGTGCTGCTGAAACTCGTAATTCAGCCACTGCCTGAGTCCATGACCACTACCACTACCTTTCCTAAATGTGCCGATAAAACGCAGATCTTGGCTGGACACACTTCACACTTGACGCCATTCATTCCTGCATGGGCCTTGGCTCCTTAGCTTATGAATAAAGAATGAAGCAAAGATTAGTTTTCTTTATTATTTTCTTACTTGGGTTTCTCTTTCCAATTAAACATCCAAAGAATTCCAATTCTACTTGGAAATGCACCCCTTCCTCGACGAATGACCCCAGCGACTGACGCTGCGGTCGACTTCAAAGTTCTGGGAATATTTCCCTTTGATATCAACTCGCCACTACAGTGCTTATAGCGACCGCCTGGCTTCGCACAAAGCACACATCGTTCGCTCAAATATTCGTTAGATCAGTCGTTGTCCCCTTCTATCTACGTTGACAGGCTCGTTACGAGTGCATGAAAAGCGATTTCTGTTCTTTGCTCCATCCACTAACCTCGCATTCTAAACTAATCGACAGACACCTCTATCCAGTCTGACCACAAACTGTTGCCACCAACCACTTTACGCTATTTTCATGGCCGATCAGTAGAGTTTCTTACGACAAATTTAAAAATTCAGACAGTCTTCTTTTCGAATTGGTGGAAATAGTTGTTATAAAGTTGTTTTTGCCGTTTTGTTTTTAAAGGCATTTTATTCTGATCTTTATTTGCAGTTAAGCGAGTGGGTGGGTGAGTGGTACTTTTCCGTGGCCAGGTGGCCCACTTTCATTATTTCTTTCCTCTCTTCCTTTTTTTTCAATTCCTTCATAATTCTTCCTCGTCATTATCGGCGGTAATTTAATTTCCTTTCTTCTGGCAGAATCCCTCTTTTCTCCTTGCATTAATTTCTCTGTTTGGGCTGATTGTTTCCCATTGCTGTGATCTTTCCTCACTTTCCATTAATTTATCCATCTGAAATTGGTTTGCTACTAAAAATTTTCTTCCACTTCTGTATTCTTTTATATAATGAAAATGAAAAATTATAGGATTTTTTTTTCGCGTACACTTTAGGCATAAAAATGCGAATTGCGCGCCGTGCTGTTTGTGTTTTCGCGCTAGTTCAACAGTTGAGTTTTGAGTTTTAGATTTATAATAGCGGCTTTAACCATAATTCACGCCTTTATGCAGAAATATATTTCTACTTTTATTTTTGGGTGTTGTCCAGCATTTCATTCTCACCTTTATTTGCATTATCCATTTCTTTTTCCACAGCACTGCACCATTTGTAGTTCGGCTGGATCCACTTGACTGCTTGCTGAAGGAGCCTTATCTTGGCAGTGGAACAAGTTCAAATCAAAAGTGGTCAGTGCTGTTTGAAGAAAGCATATTGCAATGAGAAAGAATGAAAAGATTCGATATATGAGCATCGAAAGATAATTACTCTCATCAATTTCAATTTTTACTTTCAGGAAAGGGATGCTGGCATTACGGGTGCGAAGCTTTTTATTATTAAATTTTCGTTCGATTTATTCAACACCAACAGAATTAAATATAAAAGAAGCAGACATGGTTCCCGATGATTACACAGTAATTGGAGGTGATGATGTTGGCTCAGGTACACATCGATTAATTGGTATAAGACGCGCGTTGGAATCATATTTAAGCGAAGTTCGGGCTCATTCTAGAATGGTAGCAGTTGAACGTGCTGAATTTGAGCTTGGCAAGCGGCATTTAGCTAATATTATGGGAATTGATCCGAACCATATAGCTCAAGAAGATATCGACAAGTGTGTTCCAGTTATCTTATTTTATTTTTTTCTCTTAACAGTCCTTCATTTCTGGTTTGCTGCACTGACTTCCAAAGGTTATTTTACCTGAGAGTCATTTTGAAATAGATATGGGTCGTAAGTACCACTTGGATTTCATTTCAACTGAGCATTTTTACTACCGAGGTCCAGAAATAGAAATCGAATGCTTGACATTTACTTACTTTACCTTGACATTTATTTACTTTATTTACCTATGTCAAAACAACATTTCACCCTACCTCTCTGAATATGGAAATTAAATTTTTTAATTATTGAATAATCATATTTTATTATTGAAGAATTTCGTGTTTTATTATTTTTTTCTCTCAGTTAGTTTGGTTTATATTATCATTATCAACTTGAAAATAATTTTCCAAGTAATTAGATAATTTTTTAGAGCTATTGAATATTTGTTCCCATCAGGATTAACTGAACCTTTAGCGCAACCAATTATGAAACCGCCTGAAGAGTATATACCAAAATTTCGCATTCTTGAATTTGATAATGAAGGCAGACCGAAAGATCCTTTGTTTTATACCATTAAACCAAGATTTTATCAACTTTTATCCGTAAATTTTTAATAAAATTAAAATCGTTTTGAGGAAAAAATTAATTTAATTAATTAAAAAATTAAATTTTTAATTAAAATTAATTAAAAATTATTTTAGTATGAATCACATTTTCTCTTACGATTATTTTATGATTTTATGAAGTTTTTCTTAAATATCAAAACTATAAAGTCCATTTTTTCATATTTTTCATATTTTTTCGAAATAAAAATCGCGCTTCTTCTTATTGCAGGATATCGGAAATAAAACCAGAAAACTTTTGCATGGACAAAACGGGACACGAAAATCCTCTGGTGAAGACGGTACAATGCAAGTTCTTTTTTGATTTTGATTGCATATTGATTGCATATTGATATTGGTGCTGATATAATCTCTTTCTTTTCTTTTTTTTTCTTATTTTATATCACCGTTTCTAGTTCAGCTATTTCTATTGACTGTTGCGATAAGACTCGTTCGCCTGATGGTCATCTGGAGACAGAAGCGCAGATGAGTCCTCAGTTTTCCTCGGATTTAGCATTTAATGAGAGGTCTATTCCCATTTAAGAATAGAAATCGAAATTATTCTGGCTTTACTTCAATCGAAGTAACCTAGCATCCATAAAAACTATAGGTTTCGGGAAAGAGTTCTTTACAGGATCAATTATTTTCATTTCTTTTTAAACTTTCACTTTCAAGAAATTTTTTTTTCAGGGCATGGGGTGGTACTTGTTGGCTAAGTCAAGATCAATTATGCAAAGAGTTGGATGAAAAAATCACCGATGAAATGGTCAATTCATTTATTTCATTTATTTCTTTCTATTTTTTAAATTTTGATTTAAAATTTTACAATCTTCTTTCTAAGTGGAAGAGATTGAAATCATAAAAAAAATTAAAAGAAGCAAATATTTTTGTACAATTCAATAAGCTCTTGTTATAGTTTTAAGCATGTTTAATCAATTTTTCTATAGCTTTCAAGTCATTGTGCCTAATCAAATTGCTATGTTTATAGCAATTATTTGTTTACTTGTTTAAATTTCAGTATGCACAGTTTATTATGGCCTTCGATTTTTTAATTTCTTTACCGAATGCCGAATCTGAAAAAGATTTTATTTCATCTTATCGAATGCAATTAGCTGGTAGTGCTGAAAAACGCTTATTTGGTCCCCAGGTTTCCTTTCCTCATTTTGAAATCCACAATTCCTGTCATTTGGATAAAATTTTCTCCGATAATACATTTTATTATTTAAGTAAAATTTTTTTATTTGATATATTATTCCTTTTTATATTTGTATCACAAAGAAACCCTAGTTTTCTAAATTATGTTATATTCGAATTACTTTTTTGAACCATTCCAATTAAAAATCAAAGATAATTCAATTAAAGATTCCAATGGTCGAATTGCTTCCTGAAGAAAAAAGGCGAAAAGCGAATGTAAAGACTCGTGTCAAAAATACTGAAGCAGTTACAACTGTGTTCGACAACGGTACTGGGAAATATACTGTAATGGGATATGGTATTGAAGAATTTCGGCAACTTCAAGCCAGGTTTTATTCTTTGATTGTTTTTAAAATAATTGTACGCAATGTAATTCACAGATATTAAAAAGTTTAATTTTTTTTCTTATTATTAAATTATTTTATGAAAATCAATATTTCAAAAATTGTAAAAGATATTTTAACAAGAACATTGTTAACAGGAATAATGAACATTTTAAATAATTTTTTGTTTTTAAATATTTATGAGGAAATTTTTCAGAGAGATACTTTTGACGCCTTTATTAATAACTGATTTGCTTGGTAAGGTAGATATATCTGCAGAATTGGTTGGAAAAGGTGGAACTTCAGTTATACCTAGAGTTGTGCGCCATGGCTTATCGCTTTGCCTTGCTGCATTATATCCCGAATTTGAGACTAAATTGCGTTTAGGTTTTTTCTTTGAGTTTTTTTTAGTTTGATATAATATAAATATTTGGGTGGTGGTGAGGACTCATTTATATCTTTATCGCTATGTGGCCCTCTGGCAAATTTCTAGCCGTATAACTCCAGCGAGCATTGACGAAAATGGTATGCGCCAATCACTTATTTTTCTTATTTATAGCATTGAGCAGGAAAAATATTTATTATTTTAAATATTATGATATTTAAGTTAATACCTAAGTGTTATTATTATCCACTTCTAAATGAATTCCATTTATTTCTTGAAAGAATAAAATTTTATTTATTTTGCTTAAAAAATGTTGAAAAAAATTGAAAATGTCTCATTTTTATTTTAAGCTGGTCTGCTTACCGCAGATCCCCGAAGAAAAGAACGGAAGAAGATCAATCAACCAGGTGCACGAGCCAAATGGATTTGGTGCGTTTGAAAATAAAATATTTTAAGATTATGACTTCTCTGTAATTTTTAATTTCAAGTTTATTTTCATTATTAAAATATTAAAATATTTGATGATATAGAAAATATAGTTTTTTCCAGGAAGAAACGATGATCAAATATGGTTTTTTAATACTACAAATTGGATATAATTTGTTTATTTTATTTTTGTACTTATTTTGTTTTTGCATTTATTTCACATTTCACATTTCAGTTTTCACATTTCACATTCACTGTTAGATTTCACTATTAGATCACTAATTTCTCAAATCAAGTCGTTTGAAGATTGTAATTCATTTTACCTTATTCTTATTTAAAATATTTTCTTTCATAGAGACAGATAATTCTTTCCTTATCCTTTTTCTTCATCTTGCGCAATTCTTAATTTGGCTGGATACACTGGCGATTAGAGTAAGATATTTTCAAGTCCTCCGATATCAATATCTGAATCTATAGCTGATTATCCCATAATTTGTTTTTTATTTTATAACGTTTTTTTTATTATTGTTGTTATTATTTTTTATTATTCTTTTTCTGTGAAAGATCCAACATTATAATAAAAAAAATGAATAAATAATTTTTTTTACCTAAATATTTCATGTTAATTTTTATATTAGTTTTAATAAATTCATTTGCCGATATTAATTAATATTAATAAATCTGTGCTAATAAATATTATAGTACATCAATAATGATATTTTATATTTAAAAAAATATTATGTATATTATTTTGTTACTGATGAAGGATGGCTTTAGTGTAGTGACTAAGAGCAGGCGATTGACAAGGAGTGCTTATAATATAACAACGCTTTGAACTCAATGTTACTGTGGAAAATGGCAATTGAAATCAACTCGAAATAGCTCGCATAAATTAATCAAGTGCGGCATATATCAATGCGATGGCAAAATCCAAAAATATAAATGTTCTGCCAATCAGCAGATAGCAGGCATAATGAGATATGGCCAAAGAAAGGCATGGAGAATGCCAATGGGAAAAAACTTCTCAATCTCCATCCCAACTCTAATATCCACTATATCCAAACACTAGCGGAAAGAAGGCGCGTAGAGCTTGACAAGTTCTAAAGCCACTGTCTTGAACGACATCAGAGATACATCATCAAGATGGCACCAAAGGATGAGCTGCTGAGAGAATATCTGAAGAGTCAGTTGAAGTAAGCCCAAACAGCATGGCAAGACAAGAACCTCAATGGGAAAACATCAGTAGATAGTGGCTGGCATTGAAAAAGGGTTTGGTTTTCTAATGGTTAGAAGAAATTGGACTAAAACAGCATTGATGCATTGATTATAGCAACACAAGAATCATCGAAACAGGAATCTAACATATCAGAGAGCACAGAAGATGCACTGACCTTGCAAAAAATCTTAGAAACTGTCACGCTTAATAATCTAAGGTACAATAAGGTTCAGGCAAAAACACTACACTAAAAGACGTAGCCAAGAAACTGGCACCGTCTTTAGAAATATCTGCTCAATATATGGATTAGGCCCTCCTAAGACCAAGTGGAAGATTCCTCAAAAACCTTATAGAATAACATTTCTCAGTTCCTGTGGGTGGCATGAGTCATCCTCGAGTCCCTATCAGAGGCCTGAGAGCTTGAAAATTTTCTGCGCAATATGTTCCTAACAGTGTGTTCTTCTGATCTTTGATGTTGCTTTTAGAATCTCTTGAAGCAACTTTCCTAGTTTTCTGGTTTAGGGATCACAGTTTGGCAGTTTGGGGACCTTCTACCACAACTGAAACTATTTCGGCCTTTACATCTTCTCTAGTTATTACATGGTATTACTATATCTATCACGAGTGCTAATTTTTGCTTTTTGTCTACTGATAGATTACCTGGTTGATTGGCCAGTACTTGCTTCCGTCTGGAAGGAATTTTCGCCTATTATTCTTTGTTATTCTCCACGATTCATTGGGAAATCTCCCATCTAGTCTTGGGAGGATCTAAGCCACAACTGAGCAGATATCCCTATAACAATATCAGCTATTTGGTGAAGCGTTTCATCGTATGCTATCTGTCGTTATGCATTCGCTATATTTTGGATAAAGACACTTTGATTCCTGTCTGACGTGATGGCTCCTTGCTTTCATGGATTTGGGATCTTAGCATCTATTTTTATGATCTGTTTTATAACCACTGCTCATTGCTACCTTTTGGTCCAATTTTTTAAAACCGCTGATAGAATCTCTCATTGTTAACCACCTCAGCTACCTAATGTATATTACAATTATGGGTCTGAATTTGGCGAAAGAAATTCGGTTGTATATGAATCTAAGATTTTACATTATCGCCCATTTCTAATCGATTTTCACAAGGATTTTATATCTACCTTCTATAAATTTTTTTATTTGTGGTGGAACAATGAATTTGCCTTGATTGGTATTCGTATTTATCATATTTCGATGTATTTGTTAAAAAATTAGTGGACTTTTTTTTCAAATTTTCTTTGGTGAGTCTGATCGCATGTATAACATAATGTACATTGTGTATATAAAAGCGTTGTTTTTTACAATCTGCCAAAAAAACCACTTTCAGGCCAGTTTTTTCAAGGATTATTTCGAACTCTAACAGACACCTGTTAAATTCTCATCTGTTATTTCCTCTGCAGCTGCTTGCTATTAATTTTTTCGCTAGTTTTTACTGCATTCAACGATATTCAAAGAAAGATGAAATCTTCGAAAAATCTTCAGAAAACGCATGGATAAAAAAGGATTTACTTTATCATTATTCTTCTTTTAAGGCCGTTTTTAAATCTTCTTCGTCCATTTTATGTTTTTTATTTAAAATTTTATTTAAATTATTTTTGTATCAAATTCTTAAATTTATTATTTTCGCTCATAAATTGCGAGTCAGTCGACTAACACAGTGAACGAGAATTCTTGACAAAAATGCAAGAGGTTGAGAAAATTATTTGCCAAACAACGATTTTCTTATACAATTGAATCTTTTTTTTGCAAGAAACATTGAAACCATTCGAAACATAATTTTGATAAATTAAATGTTGTAATATGACTGCTTTTCTCGCATTACTGACTAAAAAGTACCGTTATATCCATTCTTTCTTTGCCGGTAAATATCAGGCGGGATGACGGGAAAACAGGTGGCTTCTGTTACTTTGGCTCGGACTGAGAGGCCTGCGGAAATGCGAATTTGCTCTTGCGGCCGATGGAGCCTAATCAGTTATGGTGTCATCAGAAGAAGAAGACAAATCAATGAATGTAATCAAAATAAATTTTAAGGGGATTTTTTTAAAAAAAAATTCGATGAGTTAAAGTATAAAGTATTCCGACATGAAACCGAAATTTAGCAAAAATAACTTGAAAACGCTTAATTTTAGTATATTATTAGCTTTTGCAAGTGAAATCGCCATCGGAAGCAAGTTGATCGGTTGGAACAAAAAAGAAATTTGCCACCCTCGTCGTTACCAATAAATTCTTTCCTTTGAACAAAAAAAAATTTATGGTTTGCGTTTGGTTGATCAATTTCGAATATAGTAGTAAGATGGAAAAAATTCTTTAAAGACCTTTTTCTGTAGTTTTCTTTTCCGAAACTAAATTTAGCAAATGGAAAATTAATTAGCGCAACTACTGAAAGGAAAAATCAGGAAATGGCTTTGGCCATGGAATTATTTCAACAAAATTCAAGCCGTGGGCTCGATTTGTGTTGAGAGGAAACTCGCCATTAAAAACGAAATACATTATAAACGAAAGAGAAGATTGGGTGAAAATAATCTACTTTGTACTGACAGAAAACAGCCGAATGCCGGAACCTTCGGATAAATGGTTGTAAGGCACTTTGTTTGGAGCCATCTGCTCACCATGCCTTTTAGCGTTCATAAAGTTTATTGGCTGGCTGATCATCTCTTCATTAGCCACAGTTTTCGAAGCTGGAAACAATTTCCGCTCGGAAATATTGTCAAACATATTATATTATATTGCAATATTATTCATTGTCCTAAAGAATCAAATTGGCAATATTATTGTTTGCGGCAAATTTGCTCTCTCATTTGAGTAAATTATTTAGAGTGGAAAGCATCAGTGCTTCAATTTCAGAAATATCTCAGCAGATACAAAATGCGCCTTTGAAATATTTACCAAATTGATTTTTCTAATTTTTCTAATGGTATTTCTAGTTCTACTCGCTTTGTTCTTCTACCTTACAATTACCTGCAGATAGAAATAAAGGTAAATCCTCCAGTGTCGCCCAGAATTTACTTCTGGGACCACTCTTGTCAACAGGCATCGAACCTATGGTGTTGAACTGTTTCAGTCGAAGCGACACACTATTCACCATCCAAGGATTATTGAATTCTGTCGTAAAGTGCTAGAAATTTTCCACTTTTCGCAATAAAACCAATATTTTTTGCGAAAAATTGAATAAAGCTAAAACTGAGAAAGCCTTACCATGCGATCGACCATACACGAGCGATTCTTCCTATATGTTAATTTCACCGAGCGGGCGTGGAAACTGATTTACCTAAAAATCTACTTTTTAAAATTTCCCTCGGCAAAAATAGTTAGTTCAGGCGAAGCTGCAGCATCAAAAAAATTCTTGTTACTTTTTTCTCACAGTGCAAAAAACTCTTTATTGCTGCGTTTGCTGTCTTATTTTTGTCTGCCAATAACAAGTACCTCTCTCTTAATTTCTAAAGAAAAAAATTTCATTACAAACTGGTTCATAAGAAGAAGAAAATCCCTTCGATTTGGCTATAGATTTCCAGTAAATGACGCAAGTGATCGAGTGATATCAAGTATTTTGACTATGTTCAAGTCCCATTACGATTTCTTCGATTCCTTTTATTAGTGGGCCTATTATTTAGAACAAAATGCGAGTAGTTCTAGGAGGGCGCATTCGTACTTCTATTAAAAATGGCGAGAAATGCCAAAAGGACGAAATGCACAGGTGGCTGAAATTTTCGCCAAGGTGTGATAGGCGAATCACGCGGACTTTTAATGCGATGCTATCGGGCAAGGACACCGCTCAGTCTAAACGGTAATCTTCGCTGCATTACCGATATTACGGATTTTATTTTTCAAGACTCCCATCTTCCTTATTTTCGATAGGGAACAATGATAATGTTTTCACCGTCAATCGA